CCAAACTGGGAGCATTTCACCCCTGTTCTCATTCAAGAAGTTTCTTCAGCTCTAAAGAAGCTTTTTAGATGACAAGTGAAACGTCTTCAAAGCAAAACAAGAACAAGTTGCTTCTTGAAAAAGCACCTTTGGGACAACCATGACCTGGATAACTGAGAATGTCCATAGACAACTATGGCAGTAATTTTGTGCCCATAAAATGCTCCCAAAATTCAAAATGTGCCCTCTAACCTCAAAGGGTGCAGATTCCTGGTATAAATGTTTTTCCAAATAAATAGGGCAGGCTAAGGCAATCCACACTCTTTAAAATTGCAGCTTAAGCAGATACATTTTAAGGACACCTTAAGGACAAAAGGAACTTCATTTTCAGGAATTGTTCTGAAAGCTGTGGTTTTGGCATAATAACTGGGAGCAAAAATAATTAATTACTTAAGGAAATCCTGACAGAAATAAATCAAGCAAACACTTTACCAGCCAAGCCAGTTTTGCCATAAATATTCTGTGCTGTCTTGCCTTTAGAAGTTAAAGGACACATTTGTTCATACTGTGGTCATTTTTTCCCCCTACTGAAGCTAGTAAAATTTGGCTCCATAAACACATCAGAAGCAAAGGCAGAGGCCTCAATTTTATTGGGCATGTTTTAAAGTGTAACTTTGCTTGTTCGGTATTTGCTTTTTGAGTACCGGGTTTTTTAAACTGGATTACATTTTAATTTGTTTCTTCTCATCCATTGCCACCTTCAGATGATTTTTAGTACCTTCTATAGGAGACAGGCGAATAGAAAAAAATCAGTGCAACTCTCTTAGAACAGCCATTGTGAGTTCTGAATTTATTTTGAGGATTTGCTAGTTCATACCTCTGTTTCGAACATGTTAAATTCCAAGTGGTTAGTATATTTATTAGATCTTAAATCCCACCTTTATTATTGTACAAGTAACTCAAAGTGGTGAATATACCAAATACTCCTTTTTCTTCCTATTTTCCCCACAACAACCATCCTGTGAGGTGAGTTGGGCTGAGAAAGAATGACTGGCCCAAAGTCACTTATGCCTAAGGCGGCAGTAGAGCTCACAGTCTTTTAGTTTCTAGATCAGCACTTTAATCACTAGCCAAACTACAATTCAATAGAATGTGCAAATCTGGGATTTAATGTAAATTGGTTTGAAAATGGATTAATAACACTTACAATATACATTTAAAAAAAAAAAAGGTTGTGCTTATCTCTAAAGACATCAGTCACTTGAGACTTGCTTATTGATGGGAACATTCACACCAGGGGTGGGTTCTACTTACCTTTACTACCGGTTCGCAACGGGGCCACATGCGCGTGCTAGCTTTGCTCACATGCGTGCGTGCTCTTCTGTGCAAGCACAGAAACTCCTGCGCATGCGCAGAAGCGTTTTGATGATGTCAGGGTCAGTGGGCGGAGCCTCCTGCCGGCTTTACTACTGGTTCTATAGAACCAGTGTGAATCGGGGGCAACTCACCACTGATTCACACCCATATGACCTTTGACTCTTCCTCACACCCTTACAATGGCACAAAGGTATGCTTACTACAAGGCTATATAATTGGCCTCTGAATCTGCATAATCTTGTTTCATTGCCTTGCACTTTTTCTTTAGAGATTTGTCAGTGGGCACATTTGGAATTGTAAGACCATATGACAGATGCAGTCACCAAATGGCTGTCATGGGAGGTTTTTTCCCAAAATGGCTGCCAAGATGTGCCATAGCTCTTCCAGGTATTTTCTGCCATGCTGGACTATGATGGGCCCCAGATACACCTGGTACTTTGGTTTGAAACGTATTAGCTTTCTACATAACTATTTCTTAAAGACAGCAGTCACAATATTCTTAAAATTCTTCCAAAAAAAAAATAGAGTTAGTCCTGGAAGACATCTTTTACTTCAAAATTGAATTCAAAATTCAAAAAGAATTTCCCCCAGAATGCAATATCTTCCAGAAACTATACTATACTGTAATTACATGATTCTAATTAGTTAGAATTCTTTGCAGTCTTAGAAGCAGCATTTGAAATGCCACCGAAACCCAAGAAAACATACCACAGACAATCATACCACAGACCAGAAGAACAAAGAATCAGAACCAACTCAGAGGACAGCACAGCCCACAAAAACGTATAGAAAGATCAAACCATCAGCACCCTCCCAGCAGATAAAGAATGTACCACAATTGTCATGGACAGATCACTATATATACAAAAAGCCAAAGAATTACCGGAAGACAAAGAAACCGACATCCCAGTAACACAACCTAATACAGAAAGTAGACAATCTGATCAAGCCTGTTAATAATCTAAGAAAGGTCAAATCAGAAAAGAAGAAGAGAGTAGAGAAAAGCAGTGGTCCCATCTTCCCATGCTTCTATGGATGCCCCAAAATACAAAAGTCCAACATATCTCTTTATCCAGTTATATAATTACCCGGGACCCCAACATACAACATAGCTAAAGAAATTGCAAAAAAGCTTGGACATCTCACAGAGGGGAGCAAATATTCTAACAACTTTCCATTATGACGGTCCAGAAAATCAAAGACTCAATAAGAGAAGGTGGGATTATAATTTTATTTAATGTCACAGCGCAGTTTAAATCCATAAACTCACAACTAGTGAAATAATTCATAGCAGCAGTACTACACAACACATCTTACCTTACCAAATACACTAAGACCAAACGACCCAGAATCATGGATCTCTTCAACTTCTGCTTTCAGTTTGATGGTCAAATATACCAATAAATCAAAGGAACATCCATGGGATTTCCACTCGCAGGACTCATAACAGAGATTCTAATGCAGCATCTAGAAACATAGCACTGCCATACATAAGTAAGGGTTTTTTCTTTCGTGGGACCGGTCTGTCAGGGCAACCTGGTCTACCCAATTATGAGACGGAGCATACTGCTTCTGTTGACAGTCAAATATACCATCATGCAACCAAAAATATGGATACAGTATGTGGATGAAACCTTCATCATAATAAAAAAGGAACAACAAGAGAAGACACACGAAACAATCAGCAACATCTTCAAAAGAATAAAATCCACTAGGGAATTAGGCAACAGCAACACACTATCTTTCTTGGATATTCTCAGCAGCATAGGAAATGGTAGCACATTAAAAATACAGTTCTATCAAAAATCCACCCACACTATCCAAGCACTCCACTGTCAAAGTAACAACCAAGAAGAGTTATGTAAGAATTATTCAGATGAGTACAAACGCACTACAGCAATCCAGAACACCAGGAAAAGGGAACAGACCAACATCTTCCACAAAATGGATATCCAGGCAACTTTATCAAAAAGTGTCTAACCACTCAACCCACTACAACACAACCAACTCAAGCTATGAAGAAGGATAATACTGACATACATCGAAAACATTTGAGAAATAAGCACTTACTATTACAACCATATAGCACACAATCCAACTAAAGCCCTCCAAAACTTCTTAAGTAAACCAAAAGGCTCAGTGGCCCAAGGGGGGAAAAAGCATGAGTTATCTACAACACACTGTAACAGCCACTACCTGTGTAGGACAGACAGGCAGAAGAGTAGCAGAACACATCCATGAATATCAACTAGCAGTCAGAAGACACGATGAAAACTCCTTAATTTCACAATATGGGGACAGACTCAATCATAGTTTCAAGTGGGAAACTAGCTAAATCCATAAACACAAGGGAATTCCTGGAAATTAACACTCAGACACATCATCCATCAATAGACACATAGAGATAAACCACATTGACAAACTATTCAAAACCGACAATAAGAAAACAAAAAAGGAAGCAAAAAACCCAGAACACATCCTTTACAGCCAGATAAGCAGGTATGGATGCCAAAGAACCAGAAAACAATATCCTAATAACAATAGCACTTAGACTTATATACCACTTCACAGTCCTTTACAGCCCTCTCTAAGCGGTTTACAGAGTCAGCATATTGCCCCCAACAATCTGGGTCCTCATTTTATCCACTTCAGAAGGATGGAAGGCTGAGTCAACCTTGAGCCTGGTGAGATCTGAACTGCCAAATTGCAGTCAGCTGACAGTCAGCAGAAATAGCCTGCAGTACTGCCCTCTAATCACTGCGCCACCGTGGCTCAAGAACTACAAAGACGACCATGCTCCCACCAACACTGGCAGGGCAAGTGACTGTATATTGTACACAGGGAGCAAATCCCACATTCACTAGCACTAATGACGTTACCTAGGTAGGTAATGAAACGTCTGCAAGCAAGCAACCAAGCATCGAGACAGGGTTCAACCCTGAACCACATATATTCTCTTCTATTAGACAGCATGAGTTGGAGAGAGCACCAAGTGGACTCCCCAAAGCCCATTCTTGCTTCAGACAGAGGCAAAGTGATGGGAGGAGGGGAGGAATATGTGGCCCCAGCAGAAAGGGTGTTTCTGTACTATATTCACACATATATGCTCTTTTCTAGGAGGCTGCCATTCTCCAACACTGCAGAGAGCTGCAGCTCCAACACCATCTTCCAGAACATATTTCTATGTCAACAGAACTATTTCTCCTGTCAAGCCCACGCAGTGCCATATATTAAAAGGCGTAAAAGAGCGCCGGGGAGTGCTTCAAAATAACTCGTTGCCAGTCACTTTGCTGCCCTGGCCTCTTTGCCTCGCTGAGCGGTCGATTTACCTGGGCCATACCAAGAGGGCTCCGCGCGTCTCGGGGGGGGGGGGGGGGGGGCTGCAGAAAAACCAAAAACACAGAAACCCCCCCTCCTTTTTTTTTTTTCCCAAAACAAGAGTGGAGGGGCGGGGGCGCTCCTCGCCTTAGTTTGACGCACGTGGTGGGACGGAAGGCGGGAGACGCCTGTTGCTCGGGTAGGCAAAGCGGAGGCAGGACGATCTGCGGCTGCGCCTGGGGAGCCGCCTCGGGTTTCAGAAAAAAACGCGGCGTTCGAACTCAGGTGTGTGGCTCACTACAAATCCCAGCCGGCTCCGCGGCGGGCGGTTTTTGTCCCCGCACTTTACCTCGTGCGTTCTCGGCCAGCTGGAAAGGAGGGCGCCAGAGAGAGATTCCTCCACAGCCGAGGAAGCGGCGGCAGGTGGCTGGAGCCTCCCGGACAGCGGTCACCGCCTCTCCCTCCGCGGCTCCCACGCCCGTCGTCCGCCCTGGCCGTAGCGGGCATGGCTGAATTCTTGAACCAAGCCGCCGTGGTGGGCTTCCTTCGGGAACACGGCGGCAAGGTGCGCAATTCGCTGCTGCTCGACCACTTCAAGCCGCTGCTGGACGTGCCCAAGGCGACGCCGGAGGTCCGAGCTGCTCTCCGCCAGCGCTTCATCTACTTGGTCAACAGCGTGGCGGTCGTGCAGGTCTCGGAGGGGATCAAGTTGGTCGTGCTCAGAAAAAGGCACCAGTTGGTCCCGGATTCCTCCGATGCGGAACCGAGATCGTTCGCCTTCGGGGACCTGTCTGACGAGGAAACAGAAGGCGCCGATTCTGGAGCGCCCGCTTGCCCTGCCGGCTTCGTGGCGCCTCGGAGCTCGCCTGGAGAGGAAGACCCTGAAGCGCATCGGACGATCCCTGTGATCCAGTTGAAGAACCTCTTTCAAAGGGGAGGCTCGGAAATCCTCAAAGTTCCCAGTGTCAAAGACCATTTGGCCCCCAAAGGTGCCTCCCCAAAGCCCTGCATGCTGCCAGTCCGCTCTGTGCCCCCTTCCAGCAACGCTAAGAGATCTGAGGAATTGAACCCTGAGCAAGACAGGATCCCAGTCCAAGATGCTCTCCAAGTGGCTCCCTCTGCCATCCTCCCTTCTACCTCCCCTCATACTAAGAGGCGGCAGCTAAATGAAATGGGGCCCAAATCCCCTTCCCTGAGAAGGGGGTCAAAACCACTAAAGGTGGGCGAGGAAGCTGACAGCACGGCCGATGTGCCCTTGGAACCTGCTGAGCACAAGTGGGTGGTGAACGTCACAGCCGGCCAGTGGTCCCAGCAACTTCATGGCTTGCTGCTCATTGACCTGAATCTGGCGAGCAAAAGAGATTTCATGAGCGGCTTCACAGTTCTCCACTGGGCAGCTAAAAGTGGAAATTGCAAAACGCTGAGCAAAGTCATAGAAATGGTTGAGAAAGGAGGTATTCACGTTGATGTAAATGCTAAGTCCTTTGGGGGTTATACTCCGCTCCATATTGCTGCTATCCATGGGCAGGAAGAATTTATTGCCCAGCTGGTCAAAGTTTACAATGCCAAAGTCAATTTAAGAGACTATAGTGGGAAGAAACCGTTCCAGTATTTAAAAGAAGGCTCTTCTTTTGCAGTCAGACATCTCTTAAATGACCCTGGTCTTCACACCAACACTGGACAGAACCCTTCCACCAAGAAGAACATAAAAGTGGCTGCTTCTATCTTGAGTTCCACCAGCACTGTCCTGGGGCTTTTATCTGACGATATTGCCTTCTATGAACTGACAAAAGGCTTGAAGAAACCTGCTCCTGTCAATAAATTTCTTAACATAGCCACAGCCCCTAGGAGGAAGTTGAAATCCAGAAGGGCTTTTTCTTCTTCTTCTTCTTCCTTGTCTCAGGCCCTGGAGGAAGAACAGAATGAAACTGCATCAAAACATAGACCAATTTCAGAATTGTTCTTTGGTCACTTACCTCACTGACTTCGAGTAATATCAACATTTAATTAGACTTGGGAAGATCTCACATTCACAGAAAAATATTTTGCTTTGTAGTTTTGAATATGTTTCAATTTAAGTCTAACCTAAGGAGGAAAAAGAATCATAGGATTATGATTTAACTTGATAGTTGCTGCTTTCCAGCATTTGATAAAACAGATTTTTTTTTCAACCAAATTTTCATTTATTAAATGTGAATTGTTGAAGTTTCATCTGAATTTTATCCATTGGGTGGGAGTTATTTTTTTCCCCAATAAAAGGTAAGATTTAGGTGCAAATTTCCATGAAAATCAGTTTAGTAAGGCAACAGTCCTGCAATACTTGAGGGAAAAATCCTATTGAAATCAGTGGACAGACTTCTGAGTAAGCACTGATAGTATCAAGAATTGACATATAAGATATATATCAGATATATATTGACATATAAGATATAAGATTATTTTACTTTGAAACAAAAATATATTTTATTCATGCATGCTGTTCTCAAAAGTCTCTTAAATGTCCTGTTGTGGGAACAAAAACATTTTTATCATTTCTTGGTATCCTATCCTATTCCATTAAAGTAGATTTAGCAAATTCATTTGTAGTAGCTCCCATCTCCTAATGATGTGCCATTTATTAGGTTTGGAAATGATTTTTGTACAATAATTGAACAAGGTCCCATTTTATATCAATCTATTTTTCAGCTGATCTGATTTATGCAGTTGAAAAGAAAGCAACTGTAGTAAAGCTATATTTTTGTTTACAATCTAAAACTTCAGACTGATACTTTTCCATTAACTTTTTAAAAATAAATTGGAAAAAGTAAACACGCATGGCTTTTAAGGTTAATGAAGGTTAATTTATTTTATAAAAAATTAAAAGCCTCTATTAAATATGTTTATGCATTTACTATGTGTAGAATATAAAATGAAATTATAAATCTAGCTCATGCCAACTTTAAAACAAAAGAGAAGATTAATACCTCTACCTCACTGCAATAGTTATATGACTAGTTAAGACTTTTTATTTAGAAAAAGCATACAATCCTAATTGCACAATTATTGCCTTCAGTTGATAATACATTGGCAATTATAATATTCTGTCCTAAAAAACATTTGAAAATATAGTAAGGAAAATTCTATTTAGGATATTTATTTTTACACAAGAAGGAATCAAAATGTAACATATTAAGCAGTTATTTTTATATTATTAATTGTATAAATATTCAAAGTAAATCTGTTTACAGTTTCAGCCTTAAAATTCATTCAATATAGGATCTTAAATTTATTGTGAAATTCTCAACATCAAGTCCTCCTAGATTTGAAAATGCTTTTCATAAACTGTTATGAAAGCCTTGTATAAATGAGATGACTTCAATCCCACTTTACAAATAGATGTATAGTCGTTTTGTGTATATTGATTTAATACAGTTAATTACTCTTTGGAATTAAATAAGGACTCTGAAACTGATATGGGTTTACAGGGAAGAACATCCCAAGCAGGGGTGGGTTCTACTTCCCTTTACTACCGGTTCGCAACGGGGCCGCGCAGAAGCATTCTGATGACATCGGGGTCGGTGGGCAGAGCCTCCCGCCAGTTTTACTACCAGTTCTATAGTTTTACTACCAGTTCTATAGAATCGGTGCGAACTGGGGGCAACCCATCACTGTTCCCAAGTAAATGTATACAGAAATTTTGTGCCTTTCTAATGCTGTTTGTACAATGTATAAGTGCTGTTATCATGATGGAATTTATTTTTATGTTATGTTTCTAAGCCAAAGCCAATTTAAATCTGAAAAATTCGCATGAACTGAAAACATGATGTGACAAATATGACGGTACAGTCTAGAGATAAGAAAACCATCCCCTGTAGTAACTGTAGTTAATAATTCAGGTACAAACAGAAGAATAATAATTATCCCTGTTGGAAATCATCTTATGTAGGAAAAGACTTCCTTAACTGAATATCTGATTTGACTTTCAAAATGTATTCACAGATATATGACACATATTTCATGGAAGACATTTACTTTGGAAAATGAAAAAAATATTTAAGTAAAAACTGAAGCATAATTCTATAGGATCATGCGTAAAAGCCAAGTGATTATTTAACTCCATATTTCTAATGCTGAATAGCAAAATATAAACTAATATATATTTGTAAACTTGTAAATCTGACAGATTTAGCAAATGCATCTTGAGTGGTATACAAGCATGCCTGCAAAATCCATGTAGTTTGGTTGGGAATATAACAAGGTCAACAGGCAGCTTTAAAGAAACATCTTTTTCTCTGATGTAATTTTCTTTAGAACTGTCTTGAGCGTCACAGATGGTGTTTTTAAAAATCCATTGTTCTGCTATAACAAAATGGACAAACAGGCTAGCATATCTGTTTACAATAGTTTGGTTGTTTAATCCGCATTAGTAGTTTCAATTTTCAACTGTGGCATTTCACTAGACTACTCTGAAACTCTTTTCAAGGTCAATGGTTTTCAGAATGTTTTTCTTATCAACCTTGCATTAATAAAGGCAATGCTTCTTATTTTTGCATATGTATGTTCATGTGTGCATGGTATAATATATCAAACCCTACAAAATATGGCAGCAAATGTGCTTTAATATGGAGGAGATATGAAATATTCACTGTTCACATTCTTTGAAAATAATTTCCAGGGACCACAGTCTACAAAATTTGGATAATGTACACTTAACATGTGGCATATTATCACAGGTTTTAGGATCAGCCAGTTTAATGAAGGAAATGAAATGGGGTTCCCAGTTTAGTAGAATTAGGGATAGACAAGAGTAGCATCCTTCTCTTGGTCATTTAACTGTGAAACATTTTGCCCTAATTATATTTCTTTCAGCAGTACTCTGTTCTGATACTAAATCTTGAGAACATTTAAAAAGCTAATGGTGATTGCACAGTTCTTGTTTATATAAAGCCTCTCTCATACTTCTAGAATGGGAGGAACACAAGATAGTGATAATAGAGGTAGAACAATCTATTCTGTTCTCACTGGAAAAAAATTGGGAGGAAGAATCAACCCTGTAAAAGTGGAAATAAAATGAGGGGATTCTTTTCAACATATACAGATGCATCCAAAAATATTGGTACCCTCCACTTTGGTGATGTTTGTTAAATCATACGTCAAAGTATCTGCTTTGTAGATTATGGACTAAAGAATGGTGGATGCCATTTACAATATCAATTTCAATATATTTCATGGTAAATTGGGATTCTTTGAGACAAAGGGGAGGGGTACCAATACTTTTCCATATTAGTCTACATGGGCACTAACAATTGACAACAACTTGGTGATACCAATTAATGAATCCAATACTTTTGACTTTTTATATATATGCAAGAGTGTAGATGGTTTTGAGCAATCTCTCTCAGTCCAGCTCATGTCACAGGGTTGTTGTGAAAAACAAACAAACGAGAAAGGCCAGGTACCCCATCTTGAACGCCAAAAAATATATTCCAATTAATATTGATAATTAGTATTGCTAATAAAACTGGACTATTCACAATGTTATAAGTGTGAGTTCCTGTCAGAGCTCTATTTCAGAAACACTGCACCCCTGAGATACAGTTTTCACTACCTGCATCTAAAATTGATAATGCACTTTCCTTTCTTAGGAGGGAATATATTATTATGCACCTTTAAAACTCTTGAAACAAAACAATTGGAACTTTTCCATAAAGCATTATTTTTCATTTCCCAATACTGTAATATGATTTGCTTCTGCAGAGCAAATACTTCTCCTATAATGAGAATTGGATTAGTTATGGGTAATTCACCCTATTCAAAAGATATAGTGGATAGTTAACATCTAATATTACTGCTCAGAGAATAACAGGCAGCCTACCTCTGAGTTAGACGTAGTTAGACCATCTAATGACTCAAACCAGAGCAAAAAGGGTGGAAATGTTTATGTCTTGCATGTCAATCTTGCACTTAGAAAGCTGTAAACACTTACAAAAAAGAAATCTTTATACAGTTGTTCACTTGCCACCCCTTGAAAAGGGTGATAGAGAAGAAATTGATTAGAACCAAAGGACCTTCAAGATAAAGCTTGTATCAGTGGTGAGTTTTTACCGGTTTGGGTGAGCTGGTAGTGACAATGGTGAGCTGAGAGTGAACCGGTTCTCTTTGACAGTTAGGTTGGCCCTCCCGCCCACCCGTGCGTTATACATACCTTATATTTGGTCATTTTTAGTCCATCTGAAGGGCGCAGCAGAGCAGATTTGTCGCGCCTCAGTTGTTCCGTAATACACTGCGCTTGTGCAAAGCACGTGCATGATACAAACCAGTGGTAACACCGGTTGAAACCCACCACTGGCTTGTATGCAGTTGTAGGTGCTTTCTTGCTTCTTCTTAACAATGATGAATCTGAATGAAGGATTCAAACAGAACTTCTTGTTCCCAGGGAACAATAACTAACAGATTACAATACAAGAGGGGGTGGAGGAAGAAAGATGTGAGAGACAATGGGAAGAAATGTCTAGAGAAGTGAGGAAATCTTTCTTCCTTAAGAGATTAAGAATGTGATGTAAAATTCTCACAAGTCCTACTAAACTGGTTGGTTGGTTGATTGATTGAATGATTATATGCCATCAAGTCATTTTTGACTCATAGTGATCATATAGACTTTCTCCGTGACAGTCTATATCTAACCTATACCTTTAGGCCTCCCAGCGGTACACTTGTAACCAAGTCCATTCATTTTGCTGCTGGTTATCCTCTTCTCTTTCCATCCACCTTTCCCAGCTATCAGGGCCTTCTCCAGAGGGCTGGATCTTTGCATAATAGTGTTCCAAAATAGGATAATTTGGACCTGTCCATATGTGCCACGAATGAGAACTCTGGAATGACTTATTAGTTGTTGGGGAGGGGTTGGCTTCCAGCACGTAGCATAGTTATTTGCCAGCCAAATAGCATAGGCAGTCAGTTTTCATCTCATTGTGAAACATTATTTGGCCAGGAACTGCGGAACAATTTTGTTTTTGGAAAATTTTAGATACCAATGCAGCAATCCACTGCATGATTACTCAGCAGTACAATTCTTAAATAATTCTTCAATATTTTATTTCTAGTTGCTGTGACTAATGCTCTTTAGCTTCAGTACTACTTGTTTTTAAGGAAGCATAGAAGTAAGTGTGTGTTTGTGTGTGTGTGTACTTAAAAGTGAGCTCTACTGGGGTCAATGACCTAAGCATATGCTGCCTGAAAATCTTATAATTTTTTGTAGGGAAATGATGGCAGTTAGCCATTTCTCTCAGCTTTTCCTGGCATTGTTGTGAAGATGCTTTATCTGAAATCAGGCCATATTCTGAACCTTCTTGAACACAGAAACTAAGCTATCTAAGACCATTGACCTAGATTCAGCTGGGATCCTCCAAATCATGAGACAGAAACATCATTGCTATATGCTTATTCTGTGAAAAAACATCATTTCATGGAGAACTTCATGCTTCCCTGTGGCTTTGTGCATTTTAGTTTGCCTGACCTACATTCCCTTGGTGTCCTTTGTTGCTTTATTTGAATGTGAATCAAAGTAGACAATTTGCTAGCTGTGGATATGTTGAACTGGTAGTACCAACAACAAAGTATGTCACTGAAGATATTCATGACGCACCCTTGGTATTTGCAATTTACAACAATACAAACAATATAATAAAAGCATCAGGCCAGGTACCAACACCAATTAGTTTTTCAGGAGAGAAGGACTCTTTGTCTTTGCTTCAGTTGAGATAGGTAGACTGATATACACACAGACTTTCCCCAGAGACAAAACAATGAAATTTGAAGGAAATTGCCCTTGATTCTATTCTATTCTATTCTATTCTATTCTATTCTATTCTATTCTATTCTATTCTATTCTATACACTCTGCTCCGCTCCGCTCCGCTCCATTCTATTCCATTCCATTCCATTCCATTTCACATTTTACACTCCACGCTCTATGCTCCGTTCCATTCCATTCTATTCTACACACTCTACACTCTACACTCTGCTCTCTGCTCTGCTCCGCTCCACTCCACTCTCCACTCCACTCCACTCCACTCCACTCCACTCCATTCTACACACTCTCATTCTACACTCTACACTCTATTCTATTCTATTCTATTCTATTCTATTCTATTCTATTCTATTCTATTCTATTCTATTCTATTCTATTCTATTCTATTCTATTCTATTCTATTCTATTCTATTCTATTCTATTCTATTCTTGGTGAATCCCTAGTCTGTCTTAATACAAGGCACCTTTGCGAAAAAGAACCAGGAATTTTTAGAGTTTGGGCTCTTGATTCTTCATCCTCATCCTCATCTCTTCTATCCATTGTTTATCCATTGCAGGGTAAAGGCCTCTTCTGCATGTTTCCAGTCAATACGGTCTTGAGCTTTCCTTTGCAAGTTGGGCCTGCAATACTTGCTGATGTCATCACTCCATCTTGTTTTAGGTCTCTTTCTTGGATGCTTTTTATCAAGTGGAATCCATTCTGTGACTGCCTTAGTCCACCTGCCATCAGTTGTTCTTGCTATGTGACCAGCCCATTTCCATTTCAATTCTTTTATTCTCTTGATGGCATTGTATATTTTCATTTGTTCTCTAATCCATGTGAAGCTCTTTCTATCTTGTCTTGATATGCCGAGCATGTATCTTTCCATGGATGTATCCTTCCATCTTGATTCTTATTACAATGAATTTCTATTTCAATAGCTCATCGGTTTAAAATATGAAATTAAATTGACTGCTTTTTCCAATCAATGTAATAATTGATAATAACTAAAATGGACAATGTAATACATATTACTATTTGGGAAATTAAATATAGTTTCCAATGACACTAAAATATTGTTGCCTTATTTGTTAAATTTGTTGCCTTATTTTTCCCCCCACCTTATGTAAAAGTATGTAGGATAAAGGTACTTCCTACTGTGCAAACTGTGCATGCTTTGGAAATGATTCAGAAGAAGCTGCTTTGTCTCGTGTGCAGAGATGAGCAGTCACATTTTTGCAGCCTAATAAAATAAAGTCTTTGCTTTAAAAGCTGCTTCACTGAAATCTTTCCTTCAACTAACTACATTTTAAGGCTCATACAGAAGCCTGAAAAAGGAAATTTCTGTCATTAATAGCAGAGATGTTCAGTGTTCACAAGAGATCTGAAGCACTTTTTCAAAATAATATAATATATAATATATATATAACGGTGTGCCCAGACCCACTGGAAACCAATTTTTCCTAATACAAATCTCTCAGACTACACACACACACACACACATATATGAAATTGCTGAAGGGATAATTTACACACATATATTTTATTGCTTTTGGTTGTTGAATTCATCAATCACTATTTCTATCCCTACTTACACTGCACATGAACATAGTTATATCAAAATTGCAATATTTTATATAAGAAAAGCTCTTTCACTGGATAATTAATGTTTAACTCCAAGTTATCAGTGGAAATAAAGGTATATGAGAAATAATAACTGACTGTTCCAAGTTTCTTTGCAGATCCTGTGAAATG